GTCATCTGTAAGGTAAATATTTTCTCCAAATCACGAGCTGAAACATTTTGAACACTAACTGTTCAGCGGGTTGTGAAGTTCCTAGGCAGAAAAATTTTGCATTGACAACATCAAGGATCAGTTACAGTGGTAGTCTCATAAGCATCCGGAAGCACTTCTAGTTATGCAACGAGAAGTAGTAATCTACCCACCACAACAAGATACACTCGGCAGAGATCAAATGGAAACACAAAATCCAAATGCCCAGACAAAATATCCTGATAGAAACTGAAATATATGAAAATAAAACACTGCAAAATTTGCATAATCAGACAACCATCAGAACATACCTGTTGCTCACGGTGAACATCTCTTCATTTTGGTTCATCATAACATGATCAAGAGGACAGTACTTTGCCCCGGTCTCCTGATCATGAAGAACAGAATGTCTGTGACTGAAAGTACCTCTCTCAACATCCTGACCACTCAACCTAACATGATTTCCTTCCACCAGCAATGTTGCAAAAGCAAGTGCTTCTCCCAATGCCCAGTCAACACGCTCCCCTGTCTCAATCATTTTCTTACGCTCATCATAAACCTTTTTTATTGCTCTGTGAGGCTTAAAGTCCTCTGGAAGAGTTGTGATTGCTTTTCCAACGTCCTTCAAGATCTCAGGTTTGACACTACAAAACCAGCATTTATCTTGAGTCTCACAATTCAAGGTAGAAAACAAACTATTTACAGCAAAATGAAAAATAAAGTCATACCCAGTGTTTCTGACACGTGAAAGCTGTGCAGGTGACTTAAATCCAGACCAAAAAGCTGAAAGCCAATCTCTTTTTTGAGGGATATAGTCTTTACTAGCAACAAACTCCTCATTAAGGATCGTATTGATCTTGTTATGTATCTTCTCCACATCATCTTTTGTCACCTGACCAGATTGTAGGAGTTTGTTTTGATAGATCTCCAATGCAGAAGGATGACTTCTGATGACCTATAACAACCATTGAAGAAAAATAATAATGCTTTGACAGCAGTCATGAGGAATAGAAAAAGATCAATTGATTCCAAGAGAAGGTAAACTTATTTATATTGTTCAGTTACATTAGTTTTAACTGATAACAGGAAGTTAAATGAGTAACTTCAGACCCACATGTGAAGAGAATATAATTCTGCATAGAGCACAAGGAATTTCAAGAGCGACTAACCTTATACATCTTGGGCTGGGTGAAGGATGGTTCATCAATTTCATTGTGTCCAAATCGACGATAACAAACAATATCAACCACAACATCTGAGTGGAACGTCTGGCGCCATTCTGCAGCAAGTTCACAGGCATGAACAACACCCTCGACATCATCGCCATTGACATGGAAAATTGGAGCACTCAAAGCCTTAGCAACATCAGTGCAGTACTGAGAAGATCTTCCAGACCTTGGATCAGTAGTAAAGGCCACTTGATTATTCACTACAATGTGAATGGTCCCACCTGTTGTGTAATTTGGAAGAGCACTCAAATGCAATGTCTCGTAAACAACACCTTGCCCAGCAAAGCTACCATCACCGTGGAGCAAAACACCCATGTTCTTTGTTCTATCCACATCATTAGAATAGTATTGCTTTGCTCTAGTTTTTCCAACAACAACGGGGTCCACAGCTTCTAAGTGGCTGGGATTTGCGACCAATGATAGATGAATTCTCTTACCACCTCTAGTAGGTCGATCATACGAGGTTCCCAAATGATACTTGACATCACCAGTTCCCACATAACCAGCTCCGTCCGCAGGTTTTGTACCACCGCTAAACTCACTGAAAATTTGCCTTAGTGGCTTTCGAACAACATTACCTAAAACATTTAATCTACCTCTATGCGGCATCCCAATTACTATGCTCTCAACTCCCAGATCTGCCGATCTATCAAACATCTCCTTCATGCCAGGTATCAAGGTCTCACAACCTTCAAGCCCAAATCTCTTTGCTGCCATCCACTTGGTTGCCAAGAAGTTTTCGAACTGAGTACTCCACATCAACCGGTCAAGAATAACTTCACGTCGTTCACGGTTGTATTCCCTTGGTGTAGGAGTCTCAATACGTTCTCTCAACCAATTACATTTATCACGATCGGGAATGTGCATGTACTCGAAACCAATGCTGCCACAATAAGCCTGCTCAAGCCTTGTCAATATCGCCCTCAAGGTCTGCACGGGACGATTCTCAGACAAGAAACCAGACATCCTCCAAACACCAAGGAAGAACTCTCGGTCCAGATCAGCTGCAGTGAACCCATATGATACTGGATCCAGAACATCTGGAATTTCCCTCTCCTCCAAAGCCAACGGGTCCAATTTGGCTTTCATATGACCATTAACTTGATAAGCTCTCACAAGCAATAGAAGATTCATACTTTCCTGAATCGTCTGGCCAGAAATCCCAGGCGATGTGGCAGCTAGGCCAACAAAATTCCTGAAAAAGTTGTCCCATGATTCATCCACACTATTGGGATCTTGTTCCCAAGTCCGCTGAAGCTCCTCAAGGTAGACACTGCTGGTACCATCTAAGAAGCTATCAGTCAACTTTGAAAGTGGTACAGGCCTAGGGACAGGTGCAGATTGCGCCTTTGGCCTGATAACTGTGGTATGAAAATATCTACTTTGTGATGGAAGAATACGACTTCTTGGCACGTAAGAACCACCCTGAGACACAGCTCTTCTAATGGCAAGCTTTGCCACACTAGATCCAGCTCTAAACCATGCCATTGTTGTAAATCAAGCCCTCAAATTGAATTTAAAAGTACTTCACTAGTTTCAATAAACCCTCAACCAACTAAACTTCAACACACAATCATTATACCTTGAGAAATAACCTAGTAAGAACAACAGGAAAATACAACAATCAATAATTGAACGGAACAGCAAACAGACAGAAATCAGTCAACACTCATAATCAATATCTAGAATTCAAGTAATCCCAACAGTCTAGTTTTTGGTATTAGAATGAAATGGTTCCGCATCGATCAATATGGTTACTGATGATTCATACAGTCGACCTCAACTAGGTTAAAATTAAGGTGCAATGGATTAATTAAATAATTTAGCTTCCTCTTTTTATGGCGGTGGTGTCCAGACCAACTTGTGCACACCTTGACTATTCCACTGAGTATGTGTTACCTTCCACCAGCACAGGAACCATGTAACTCTGCCTCAACAGTGTAGGCAGATGGAAGAATCACCTAGTGTTTTTTGCTCAACTGGGATTTCAACTAGACTCTCGTGGTTCTCCTCACACTTCATTGACCGCTATGACCACTAGGCCACACCCTAGGGTATTAAATAGTTTTTGAGCATAGCAAAAAGGTTACAAAGCATTCATAGACAATGAATTACAGAGGATTCACACAGTTGACTCCAACTAATCCGTGATTAACACGTAATCAATTGATCTAATAATTTGCTTATGGAAAAAACAAATCCCTTCACCATTTTTAAATTTTTAGGCACCACAGTACACAGCTATAAAAGCAAAGTTTTACGATCCAGCAGTCTCCCCCACAACAGCAATCTAAACGCTACGGGATCTAAAATCTTAATCTCGAAAAAACACCAAATCTAACCGAGAAAAGCATATTTTTTTTAATTCAAACGGAATACAGATTACGCTATGAAATTACGAGTTAGCATTGAAAATAATCAACGGAAAATGATAAATACATGAGAATTCGGAGAATAATAATACCTTGAGGGAGTGAGCGAATGAAATGAATGAGGGGTTAGTGGGTTCAGAGAAACGACTTTTTAAGAGAGAGTGTGGACAAAGGCCACGTTCAAAGTTGAGGAATCAGCGCCTATATTTTAAGCTACTTTTCTTCCCATGTTCTCGAACCTCACCATTATTCCCCCTCGGCTTCCTACCTCCCAACAAAAAGGGCAAAAGTTACACTTATTTACGTCAAATTAATAGATACAAAATATATACCTCTTCGGTCCAAAATAAGTGATTTTTTTTGGATGTTTTCACACAAATTAAGAAATACACCTTTTAGCATTAATTAGCAATGGAATTGACTATATTAACCTTTACTATCTCACATAAATACTCCTAACACATATTCCAACACTATTTACTCCAAGGACAATGTAGGAAAAAAAATAATTAATTCATTCTTAAAATCTGAAAAAATCACTTATTTTGGACCACAAGAAAAATGCCAAAAAATTACTTATTTTGGACCGGAGAGAGTATTTTTCCTGTACACATTTTATGGTAAAAAATTAATTACATTCCCTTTTTATATTAAATAATCTTAATTTTCCTTATTAAGTAATTTAATAAGATGATAAGATATACTCCTTCCGGTATAAATAATGTTTTTTCCATCTTGTCAAAAATATTGATTTCTACGTAACGATAAAAAACCTAAATGTGAAGAGTAAATAAGAGTATATTAGTCAAAGGCTCTTCTTATAGAGTAGCAGTTTCTTAAATGACTCTTAAATGACGTATAAAAGAAAAATATGATAATTATATGGACCGGAGAGAGTATAAATTAACCACCGCTATGCGAGAGAATTCTATTTGCAAACAAATATCATGCATCTAATAATAATATGGTGTAGACATCGAGAACAAGTTTTATCGATATTGTTAAGTTATATGTATTTTTTATATTTTAAGAGCAGTTAAATTTGATGTAAATATTTGATGCAGGTAACATTTACCGACCAAAATGAGTATTAGAAGTAAGTTATAGGCGAAATATATAAATAGCCTCTTCAAGTTGTCCTCAACGATCAAATAAACACTACTATTTTTCATATTGGCACTTCAAGCGGTTATTAAGTAGATCAAGTATAACACTTAAGTGCAGCAGAGCATATACGTAAGTTACACTTGCCAATGACATGTCAAGTGAACCAATTAAAAAATGACATATATAATTTCGCCGTAAAAACTTGACATATGTAATTTACCACAAAAAAATGCATTTAAAGATTTTCCTAAACCAGACCCCCCCCCCCCCCTCCTCATCTTCTTCCGCTCATCCCCTTTTCCCAAATCTACCCAACTGTCCCAAAACAGAAGATTAGAGACTAGACAATAACTAATAATTGATATTGTTGCTGAGGTAAATTTTTAGAAGCTTGAATTTTTACCATCTGGGATTTTGTATTTACTGTTGGATTGCAAATGGGTCTTGCTTATTTTGTTTGATTTAGAGCTGTTGGCTTTTCTATTTGATGGGCCTTTTCTCGATTTAATTTTTGAGTTTTTGATTTTGATTCCTTGTTAGATGGGTTTTCATAATGTTTTCTTTTTCCTTCCCAATTTTTAAGTATGCTATTAGTTGGATTTGGTGTTGATTATGGTGGTTTCCTGTGTTTTTTTTTTTTTTTTTTTGAATGGTGTTAGGTTTTTAGAATTGGCTGGAAATGCAGCGAGAGACAACAAGAAGACCAGGATAATACCGAGGCATGTTTGTTAGCTGTAAGGAACGATGAATAGCTTGGAAAACTTCTAGGTGGTGTAACCATTGCTCATGGAGGTGTTCTTCCTAACATCAATCCAGTTCTTCTGCAACTAGCCGAGATGATGAACTGAAAATTAGGGTTTGGGTATTGGGCTTAAATTAGAAACTTCATTGAGGGTATATATGGAATTCCACATATAATTACCGTTTATTACTGTTTGGGATGTGTAGATAACGTGCTTCTCCGAAAATGCATTACACGCGAGGTGAGCTGGCTGTATTAGGTGTTTGCTTGATCTACTTAATAACCACTAATATGAAAAAGGGTTCAGTTGAGGTGTTTATTTGATCGTTGAGGACAACTTGAAGGGGTTGTTTATATATTTATTAGGCTCTCTATCATATGTTTGAAAGATATATTAATTATGATTTTTTTCTTTTAAAGAAACTAATAAACAGTTACAATTAATTACCTTATCACATGTAATCTAGGAATTTTTATTATTATTATTCAATTCATTCAAGTATTAAGAATTTATTTTCCTCTTCTTAGTTCTTTCTCTTTTCATATAGTGAAAATTTTAGTTTTATTTATATATCTATATATATATATTGCAATTTGTGTTATAGCTTAGAATTTACATTAAATTCTAAGAATCATGCCTTTGTATTTTATGTAACTTCGTCATGATTGGTGACGGATTCAGTTCTTTCTTCACTTTCAACAGCAAATTTTAAGCTATAACACAAATTATGTGATTATGTCCTTATTGCTATTTGTATTTTAAGAAATCGTAAATATAAATTACATTGTCATTGACTTAGATGGAGCAGCGATTGGACCTTTAGAAATCGAGAAGGGTGCGGGAACAAAAGTCGTACCCCTTTATGTTTAAAAATCACAAAATAAATATTTGAAACAAATTGTAATTTTATAAGTTCCATATATCAAAATAAATTGGAACTGATGAAACAGTACTTTCCTAATTTCTAAATTAAAATTTTATTCTTATATTATTTTGAAACATTGACCAAGTGTTAAACTAAGACTAGTAGATTGTCGGGATCTTATAAGACTAGTAGTCGGTAGACTATCATATAAGTATTATACATTTGATGTTTCTTTAATTTTTTTTAGATTTGACTTGTTCTAGTTATTTCTAATTCATAAAACATAGTACTACCAAATATATATATATGTCTTAAAGATTTGAACTTTTATCAAGCAATCTTTTTATTTATGATAGTTTTAGATATTCTTATTCTAAAAATATAAATTACCTTTGCTTAGTCAAAATTATTTTCTTTTCTTTTTATACAATATCCATCTTTTCCAGAATGAACTGCCCCATGTAATGGTCTTTTCCTGTGCGTGTTTGGCCACATTGTGATATGGGAACCCATACTTGTCAAAATGCATAACAAACTTTATTTCCTTCTTGTTTTTAAATTAAGAGCCTGTATTTTTCATTTAAAATTTTTTCACTTTTTTTCGAAATCAGTGTTTGACTATAAAATTTCTAATTTTCACTTGAAAATGAATTTTGAATTTTTTTAAAAATTTTAAAAACTCCAAAAAACTGTTTTTCAAAATTTTCACTCAAATCAAACACAAAAATTCAAAAACAACCCGAAACTATATTCATGTCCAAACACAACTCTAATTTTCAAATATCATTTTCACTTGAAAAAAAAAGTCACTTTTTTTCGGAATTTTACAATTCATGTCCAAACGCCCACTAAAACTCTTTCAAATTGTTTCTTTTTCTACGTTATTGGTCGAGTATAGGGCTATTGCTGTCCCTACGGAGACATGCGATAAAAAAAGTATAGGGTTATTGCTTAATTGAATAAAAAGTATAGGGTTATAGGGAATGAGCAGGATTATGAATTCAAGAGAAAGTTAAAAGCATGTTAAAACTCCTGCATTACGTTTCTATTTTTTTAACATTCTACTCGGAGCAAAAACTAACAGCTCCAATATTTAAAAGACGAAAAACAAAAGAAATTATGGGAGGATATCCAAACACAGGGTAGTTAACTGTATGACAATAGATTCAAAACGAAAGCAGAAAAGCCTTTGACACATCAAGCTTGCCATCAGATGGCAAATAAATATTTGGTAATGAAGTTAACAGGAATCAGTTTTTCATCCCAATCAATTTTTACATCCAAATGCCTGACCAGAAGTTCTTCCCACACGATTGGCTCCATTCACGAACCACAGCAAGAAGACTTTTGTGCAGCTTGACCAGAAGTACCTGCCTGATCCGATTGGTTGATCCTGATTGCCTGAGGCTGCACGAATTGAGAGAAACATATTCATCACGAGATGAAGTAATAATAAGGACATATTCTAGAGGTGTGTAGAAGGGGAGCATTGGCGTAACTGGTAAAGTTGATGCCATGTGATTAGGAGGTCACGGGTGGAAACAGCCTCTTGTAGAAATACAGAATCAGGCCATCGGCCCAATTCTGGCATTTATGGTGGTGTGGACATACTCGATTGGAATGGGAAGAACTACTCATCCAACTAAATACAGGGTAAGGTTGCGTACAATATGACTCCTGTGGTCCGGCCCTTTCCCGAACCCCGCGCATAGCGGGAGCTTAGTGCACCGGGCTGCCTTTTTTCTAGAGGTGTGTAGAAGTTGATAACTCTAGTCCATTGAAACAAAAGAATAAAGAACGACATATCAAATATCTGTGTACCTCAGCCTTGGAATCAGATTCTGACAGCCTTTGCTTGATATCCCTAGCAATTGAAAAGAAAACCTCCTCCACGTTCATGTTTGTCTTCGCACTCTGCATCAGATTTTATCATTTATACCCGAACTTACTCCATCCGGCAAAAAATTTCAATTTCAAGATCCAGAAAGACCTGGACTTACTGTTTCAAAGAACTTAATGCCATATTCATCAGCAAGAGCTTGACCCTTGGAAGTTGGCACAGCCTAGATAGGAAAAAAGGAATAATATCAACAGCATCTAATGGAAACTGTGTGCATCAGAAAATAAGTACCTGATCAAAGGAGTGAGAAAAACCAAGCGAATTAGTTATACAAACAGACTACGGGAGGAGGTAATATTTCCATAGGTTGGATGGATGCCCGAGGATCCATAAAGAGGTGAATGCCCATTATATAACAAACCAGATTCAGGAAGATGAGAAATTCCAACGTTGACATCTCTTAATCACAATAACCTACCCTTTTGCTTTCGTCCATATCAGCCTTGTTCCCAACCAGAATCTTGTTGACATTGTCAGAAGCATGCTGCTCTATATTGCGAATCCAGTTCCTGATGTCTGAATGGTTCAGTAAAACATTAAATAATAAGTTAAATCTGCCTCACCAATGCTAGATTTGGTCATGAAGCTGCAAATCAGACCATAAAACCAGCTAAATCTTGAAATTTGGAAACAAAATTATCACATCTCTGCTGCAAAAGAAAACCTAAATAGTGCTGAAGGATAGAACATTTGACATAAGCAGGAGGCTAAAGCAAGATAGTGAGAGAATTTACTATTGAAAGATGACTCGTCCGTGACATCGTACACCAGCAGAATACCCATGGCTCCTCGATAATACGCTGTGAACAACAAAATTCAAACTTGATTGAGAGGCACACATTGAAAATGAAAGATGAATTTCACATTTGAAGGGACCTTCTAATTCAATTCAATCTCCTAGCAACTTTAGTCCAAGAACTCAAAGTGCCCGTGAGTAGCTTCTACAGGGGCAGACTTACGTAGCCCAAGGGGGTCAACTGAGTCCCCATTATCAAAAAGTTTCTGTGTTATATGGTACAGTACATTTTGAAAAATATAAGTATGTGTGTATGTGTGTGTGTGTGTGTATATATATATATATATATATATATATATATACACACACATGTTATTAAATCCCCTTGTTACAAGGATTCCCTCCACAGCAATGTTCAAGGAGATTCAAGATCCCTTAATGAAAATCCTAGGTCTGCTCCGCGATTGCATCATAACGTAGTACTCTCTTCATCCCAATTTATGTGGCACTTTTCACTTCTCGAGATTCAAACTATGTGAATTTTAACCAATATTTTAAAATATGATGTTTTATCATATTGATATGAGAAGATTTGCAACTTACGGTACTTTTCGTATAGTTTTGAATATCTAAATTTTAATTCTAAAATACTGAGTTGATCTAACCCAGTTTAGCTTCAAAGATTAGTCAAATTGACCCTCAAGAAACGAAGAATGCCATATAAATTGGGACAGAGGGAGTACCACTTAAATAGTTAAATGACACAACTTTCACCATTAACCACCTACAAGCTTCAAATAAATACAGCCACTACATGTGGTCGCTTCAAACTCTAGGTTTCAAGACAGAAGTTACAGAACCAAAAGGCCCTGTTTCCTTTCACCAGTGCAAGAAGCTAGCACTCTAAGGCATCTGAAGATCCAAAAAAACTTATCTTGCTTCTTTTCACCCTTACAAAAATTAGGAACCTAGGATATTTGCCAATCCAAAAACACTTATACACATAAGGTTTGGATATACCTGTCGTGATAGTGCGGAAACGCTCCTGACCAGCTGTATCCCAAATTTGTAACTTAATCCGCTTGCCATCAAGTTCAATTGTTCTTATCTTAAAGTCAATTCTGTAAAAGCAGAGCAATCCTGTAAATTTGGAGGAGGAAAAGAGGGAAATGCAAGGCCGAGAAAAGATTAAGAGGAAGCAAACAGTGCATAAGGTATACAATTTAAATTTTCAAAAATGATGATTCCCAAACTAGACAGTTCATCTAGCATCCTGCATAAGAGAGCACAATTTTCTACTTTTTTTTTTTGCCAAACACAATCTTTTCCTGCTACCATTCAAGACCACTGATATGTAACTTTTTCATCAGTTTCTCAATATTCTGCACCATTTAACTAAAAAGAGAGCCTTGTCGAAGGAAAAAAAGATACTGCTGACATAGTACTGCGGTAATCCCAAAAGATGCACATTTTGTGTTTAAAATACAGTCTAATTAGTACTTCCAGAGGAGGGAGGGATGGTCCAGGATACAAACCCAATAGTGGTGATGAAACTTGTTGTGAAGGAACCATCTGAGAACCTCAGAAGCAAACAACTCTTTCCCACACCTACAAATAAAACCATCATAAAGTGTGAGGAACTGATAAAAGATGTTAAAGATAGAAATATTTCCTTTGTGGCAACTGGCAAATATCGTCCCTCTATTTTGAAAATCAATAATTAACCTACCCAAATCATGAAATAAAATGAAACTGTTTACATTATCCTTCCAATTCAATCATGAGCGTCATGTGCTTAGAATGAGAGTTTGACCATAGTTATCCCCAATTTCCATCTATAAATCCGGACAAAATGACCATCCTCACTCCT